GTTTAGAGATAGTAATTCTAACACTCCTCAGAAATGTAGTGCAGGTGTACTTGGGTATTTGTTAGCTCTGGTATATGTTCAACGTAACGTGGTATACGTACTGTTTAGATGCAAACACGTTTGCTTGGTATGCGATCTTTATTTCCCAGCACCATGCGTCGGTGCATTTTCTGGATCTCACTGTCACCATTGATGCTAAAGGTCTCAGCACCGGGGTGTATTATACGCCTAATAATTCCCATGCTTTTCATCTTTCCACGTCCTCTCATCCCTCTTCCTGCAAGAACTCAATTGCTTTCCCAGAGCTTGTACGCCTCCGCAGACTGTGCCAGGAGAACGACGAATTTCATCACAAGGCTATAGAAATACTGGACTTCTTCCTGCTTCGAGGGTATCCTGAACGTGTCTTATCTGCTGCCTTTCACTCAGTACGGTCTATCCATCAGCCTGGGGCCCTCGTTTCCAAGCCTAAACGTCATCACAACAGACCTATCCTCATATTTACCTACCACCCTCATAACATCCGTGCCAAAAATATTATCCTCGGGCATTTTTCCATCCTTAGGGCTGACCCTGCCCCAGTATGATTTTCTCTGGACTTCCTCTAGTGGCCTACAGGCATGACCGTAACCACAAACACATTCTAGTCAAGAGTCGGTTACATCCTGCGTCTGAATCCCACTTCAGCTCGGTCTTTTGCCACAGACCTGTAAGCAGGACTTGCCCATATGTGAGTACCAGCTGGAATTTTGAAATGCTACCTTCCACATACTTGAAGCATTCTATAGCACGAGCCGCACTGTTATTTATGCCATCATCTGCAAGAGATGTGAAATGAAATACATCGTTGAAACGGGTCTACAACGGGCTAACAGGTTCAGACAACATCTTTTAGATGGGCAGAACGGTGTCCTGAAACCAGTACCGTTGCACTTCAATACCCATGATCACCAAGGTTATCACGATATGGAGGTGACAGCCATTGAATCTAGCCACTCCAGTGAGAGAGTCCGCAAGACCTTTGAAAAGTGCTTTATTTTCACTTTGGGCACGATAATGCCTAAGGGACAGAACTGTTAACACAGTTTCATCTAAAATTCTCTATTTACAGCACCTGGAATTCCACGGCTTTTTATTTCTCAGGCCCCACTTTTTCTTCTCATTCCACTGGCAAGACATTAACGTGGCTGCTTCTGGATACTCAGGTGATTTTGTGTATTCGTGTGGTTTTGTTTGATTTATATGTATGCTGATCAAGGCTCTATTGCCGCAACGTTCACGTTTTGTTTATGTTTGTTATATTGTGAATCTCGGTGATCTACTTTTCGTTCGGTTTTATATTGTTCCATGATCTTGTCCTGCCACTTAATGCCAAGTTTTCTTCTTAGAAATCGCGTGTGAAAGCCTTTTTGGCCGTTTCTCCTGGTGCGAATAACTATTTGGCCAAGTTGCACTGCCATACAGCAGAGTCCTAAGAACACAACCCTGATATGCAAGAGTTTTTGTTTTAATCGTGAGCTTTCTGTTCTCCCATACTTTTTTTTTTTTTTTTGTTTTTTTGTTAATCTGTTCATTTTTGTTGCTACCTTACCTTTCCTGATGTTGATTTCTTGGTCCAACGATAGTTTGTTATTTGCTGTGGATCCCATATAGGTAAAATGGTCAACTGTCTCAAGTTCCTCACTCTCAATGTAGGGTACTCTACATTGCCTACCCTCATTGCTTGGAAAAACGGAGATTAGCATTTATTCGCAGTTTAGAACAGGGTATAAGAATTATTATTATAAGGTCTTCAATTCCTGTGTGATCCCAGTGCTAACTTATGGTTGTGAGAGTTGGAAATCATCAGTATCAATCGATAAGAAACTAGTCGCTTTCGAGAATAGATGCCTCCGAAAGCTATTGAATGTTCACTGGTCGGACTTTAGGTCCAATACATCTATAAGACAGGAAACAAAACAAAAATATGTGTCTGATTTTATTAGAATGCGTCGCTGGAATTACATCGGTCACGTACTCAGAATGGACATACAGAGACTTCCCCACCAAGCCTTCATATGGTCACCAGAGGGTAAAAGAAAACAGGGAAGACCAAAAGAAACTCTCCGTAGAACCATCACAAGGGAGAGCTCAACCATAGGTCTCAGTCGCACTCAAGACCTACATCAAGTGGCAACGAACCGACAGACGTGGAAAGCTATGACCTCTGCCCTATGCGCCATCTTTGGCACAAGAGGAATAACTAACTAACTAACTAATAAGAATTATTAATAATATGACCTTTGATAAATATCAGCCAACTTTCTTGAGAAATTCTGAGAAGAATTAACACCAAGAATAAACAAAGCAAACCAATAATTTGCCATACTTAACAATATAAAGAAGTCAAAGGGACGAGTTGGAAGGTAAAACTCAGATTATAAAAGAGCAACATTAAAGGAATAGTGTTAAACAACACGGACTGCTGGAAATTGACGGCATAAATTACACAAGAACTAGATTCTTTTTTAAAAAAATATTTCTAAAGAGAATGATGCAAGTCTTTGAAATGTCGACCCTAAAAGCTTGGCGCTGTCAGATCAAAAGTTCAAACTGTATTGTGATTTCGTTGATTATGCCGCTCCAACCTTTCCCGACAACGCCTTATACGGTGCCGCCTGCCTGATGCGGCTGCATCTCTGTATCATAGCAGGGTTCGGTCCTGATTATTATAGGTGACCCTCAACAATATGCAAAAGATTCTCACTAATAATTAAAAAAAAAAAAAAACCCGTGTGTGTTCCAGAGCTCTATTATTGGGAAAACAAGAATAGACCCACTGCCTACCCAAAAGCATGTCGTAAGAGTAGACTAACTGGTAGCTTTCTTCGACGTCGTAGTGTTTCTGCTTCAGAGGCAAGGAAGTAGCAGTTTGCAAACGAAAGAGCAGATCTGTCAAACGGATGCACACGCAACACTCAGGTTCTGAAACAGCAGTGCAGAAGTGGACAAACAACTAGAACTTTCCGCAGGAGTTTACAGCCGGTGAACGCGAAGAAGAAGAAGAAGAAGAAGAAGAAGAAGAAGAAGAAGAAGAAGAAGAAGAAGAAGAAGAAGAAGAAGAAGAAGAAGAAGAAGAAGAAGAAGAAGAAGAAGAAGAAGAAGAAGAAGAAGAAGAAGAAGAAGAAGAAGAAGAAGAAGAAGAAGAAGAAGAAGAAGAAGAAGAAGAAGAGGAAGAAGAAGAAGAAGAAGAAGAAGAAGAAGCCCTGGCTCGCAATGTGACTATCAGGAATGGGCCATCTATGGACAGGAGAGACATCATCGATTCCATACGAGAGACTAAACGCTGTGAGGTTTTCAGTTTCGAGGAAAATGATTTTTTCACTGAATGGACTGCATACCCTGGGTGTACCAACTGGAGCGGCGAGACAGGAAAACCATGCGGGAGCCACCCGTCGTTACATCATCTAAAACAGAATGGGAGTTGTTAGCCCAAAAATACTTGGAGGCATACTCAGGAGGAGATCGGAGCTCTTATGGTCCTGCCCGATGTGAGATGAAGATGCTCTCAAAACTGAACAATGAACCCTTAGCATGTTTTTAAAAAAAATAGCCCTGTATATATTGATATACTCTCACGTGTTGTGAGAACTTTTGGCGCTCAGTTTTTAGCCCGTGTGGAAGACGGAAGGGGGAAGGGAGGGGAGGGGAGAGGGGAGGGGGGTTTCCTCGAAGATTTATATATATTGTCTAGAATATCATCATCATTATAAATTTGAACTGACCAAGTTCAACAGCTACCTGGGGAGGTAACCTCTCCTAAATAACATTTGTTTTAATTTTGGTTCATATTCATGCTGTTATTTCATTGCGCGTTTCTAAGTGTTTTTTGTAGCTTTCTTGTATGTCGAGTTAGGTTTTTCATCTAGGCTGTCATCTCAGTGCTGATTGGTTAGTTTGGTGCTCTTCATGTTGAAGGATAATATGATCTCTGCGCGCGATCTGTGTGTTCCGGGAATGGTACTTACGTACACCGGAGCCTAGCTACCAACCCAAACCGACACAACCGGAGCACTCAATAACAAATGACGAAAAGAATAACTGTGAGGCTCCACCTAACAATTCACACACATATTCAAGACATTACTAACACTTTCTTATTGCAGGAAAACCACTATAAGACCACTATGGTCACAGGCGAAATTCTTTCACATTTCGGATTTATCCAAAACACACAAAAGCTGTTTTCAGTACTTGTTTGCAAAGTAGAATACTCAGAATTGTTCAGCTATAAATGGTGGTCCAAAGGACGTTATGTATTTGAGCTCGCTCTCCTACGAAATACATCAGGCCAAATCATAGAGAGATGAAACCAGGCAGGAAACACCTGGAAGGAAAAGGCCAGAAGTACACAGCTGACAACTGGGCAGAGAACAAGCGGTCTGACTTCAAGGAAGGAAGCACCAAGGCCAGAGACGGCGCAAATACTAAAACTTTAGAGACTGTTAGCAGTTTCGGCTAGCTAGCAGCACTTTTAATTTTTTTTTTCTCTGAGAAGGAATCGGAACCCGATCTCTGCCATTGGTTTTTGTCCTCTGTTTTATTTTCGTTATGTATCTGCTTTTGTGTTGCTCTGTTGAAGTCAGTTATGTGGTTTGTTCCATCGTGTGATATGTCTTTGGCATGTACGAGAAGGATCTCAGCTGTTTTCTTGATCTTACTCTTACATTCGCAGTGTTCTCTGTATGCTGTCTTTGTGTATGATTCCATATGAGATCAACTATGCCGTCATCCGATTGCTAGCTTGGTAAGACTTCCTCTGTAGTAACATGTAGTCTGATTATGTAATATGACAATCTCCAAGCAGTCTATCACAAACAGGAGTGATTTCCGTGCTAAAACGAAGCGAAAACAACCGGACAACAACCGAAGTGACTGAGCTATCTCGGAGGGCCGGACCGGAAGATAAGTAGTATAACATCAGACTTACATGCTCGAGTCCGCGTGACTTACCCGTTGCTATGGCGTCTGAATCAGGCTCCGATCAGCAGACAATTGAGAATGCAACCCGTATTACAGTGGATTCGCTTCTCGAAGCTCTCGTTTCTCTGCGTGAATCAAAGGGTACAACTTTGATGCACCTGAGAAGATACTTTGCCAATAAGCTTCCAAACCATGTTTCGTCGCTTGAGATCAGTTCTCAGATAAAGAAAGTTCTGAAAAAAGGTCTCAGAGAAGGGAAGATTAAACGACACGGTACTAGTCGGTACTTCCCTTGCAATGACGATGACAATATTGGAAGCAAGAGAAATCGTCGGAAAAATCTAGACGACGACGACGTGGTCCTTCGTACAAGGAAACGCAGAAGGCGTCGATCAGGTCGTCGTCGATCTAGGAGAAGAAGGAGTAGACGAAGAGGGAGGAGGAGAAGTAGGAGGAGGCGAAGTAGGAGGAGGAGGAGGAGACGACGCAGTAGGAAATGCGGGAAAAAAAGGAAGGAGGGGGAGGAGGAGGAGAAGGAGGAGGAGGAGGGGAGGAAGGAGAAGGAGGAGCAGAAGGAGAGGGAGACGATGTGCTGGCAAATGAAGAGAGCGCAGTATGCTATAGCATAGCAACCTAACTTTTTTACTTTTTTTTCTAAAGGTCCTTTTTAGGGCCACTACAATATTTAACCTTCGTTGGTTTTATACAAATTCTAATTGTAATGTTTGTTCCTTGTCCTGTCCTATTGTGTATGCGTCTGGGTCTTATTTCTTTATATTTATTTTAGAAGATACAAATACGTAGTAAATTACACATAGTCAAAGAAAATATCCTACATTAAAAAGGTAAGTATAATTTTTTCCATACACATCTATCTTCAGATAGGCGCCTTTTTTTTTTACTTTTTTCCTTGTTACCTGTGTGTGTGTCTGTGTGTGTGTGTCTCTGTGTGTGCCTCTGTGGGTTTGTGTGTGCCTCTGTGTGTCTGTGTGTGTGCCTCTGTGTGTGTGTGTATCTGTGTGTGCCTCTCTGTGTGTGTGCCTCTGTGTGTGCCTCTGTGTGTGTGCCTCTGTATGTGTGTGTGCCTCTGTGTGTGTGCATCTGTGTGTATGTGTGTCTCTGTGTGTGTCTGCCTCTGTGTGTATGCCTCTGTGTGTGTGCCTCTGTGTATGTGCCTCTTTGTGTGTGTGCCTCTGTGTGTGTGTGTGTGTGTGCCTCTGTGTGTGTGCCTCTGTGTGTATGTTTGTCTCTGTGTGTGTCTGCCTCTGTGTGTATGTGCCTCTGTGTGTGTGCCTTTGTGTGTGTGCCTCTGTGTGTGTGTGAGCCTCTGTGTGTGTGTGCCTCTGTATGTGTGTGTGCCTCTGTGTGTGTGTGCATCTGTGTGTATGTGTGCCTCTGTGTGTGTGTGCCTCTGTATGTGTGTGTGCCTCTGTATGTGTGTGTGTCTGTGTGTGTCTGCCTTTGTGTGTGTGCATCTGTATGGCTGTGTGCTTGTGTGTTTTTTGTGCCTATGTTTGTGTGTGCCTCTGTGTGTTTGTGTGCCTCTGTGTGTTTGTGTGCCTCTGTGTGTTTGTGTGCCTCTGTGTGTGTGCCTCTGTGTGTGTGTGCCTCTGTGCGTGTGCACCTGTATGTGTGCCTCTGTGTGTGTGACAGTGTTTGCCTCTGTTTATGTGCCTCTGTGTGTGTGGGTGCCTCTGTGTGTGTGTATGAATCTGTGTGAATGTGTGTCTCTGTGTGTGTCTGCCTCTGTGTGTGTGTGCCTCTCTGTGTGTGACTGTGTGTGTGCCTCTGTGTGTGTGCCTCTGTGCGTGTGTGTGTGCATCTGTGTGTATGTATGTCTGTGTGTGTGTTTATGTGCATCTTTGTGTATGCGTCTGTGTATGTGCCTCTGTATGTGTGTGTGCATCTGTGTGTGTGCGCCTCTGTATGTGTGTGTGTGCCTCTGTGCATGGGCCTCTGTGTATGTGTGCCTCCGTGTGTGTGTGTGTGTGCCTCTGTGTGTGTGCATGTGTGTGTGCATCTTTGTGTGTGTGCCTCTGTGTATGTGTGCATCTGTGTGTATGTGTGACTGTATGTGTGTGCATCTGTGTGTATGTATTCCTCAGTGTATGTGCCTCTGTGTGTGTGTACCTCTGTGTGGGTGCCTCTGTAAGTGTGTACCTCTGTGTGTGTGTATCTCTGTGTGTGTCTGTGTGTGTGTTTTTGTGCCTTTGTGTTTGTGTGTGCCTCTATGTAAGTGTGTGTGTGTTTGTTGTTGTTGTTGTTTTTAGCGACAAACGAATTACGTGACTTCACCTCAAGACTATTCTCATTTCAAAACGATGTTTGTGTGACCAAGTTGCAAGTAATATACCTGTGTTAATAAATTTTTAAATTGATTGCGTATTCTTGCTGCCTGATGGTATATTTATTGTATATACTTCCTGTTTGGTGTTGTATTGATTGTATATATTTGCTGTTGGTGTAGTTTTGACTGTACATTCTTTCTTTTTGGTGTAGTACTCTTTTTCTCTTTTTTTGCGTTTATCAGATGTAAACTCTGTTGGAAAGTTTTGGTTGTCAGTCGACTTCTGGACTGCAGTCCTACTCCAGAATCTGAGTGTTGCGTTTGCATCCGTTAAAAAGATCTGACACATTTGTGTGCAGACTGTTGGTTTCATGCCTCTTGGGCATATGCACTCCGAAGGAAGCTCCCAATTAGTCGACAGTTACGACATGCTTTTAGGTAGGCAGTGGGTCTGTTTTTGTTTTCCCTATAACAGGACCCCGGAACCCACACAGGGGGGTGTAGTGGTGATTGTAAACTCTTGATGTTTGGTGCAGTAGTATTGTACATACTTTCTTTTTGTTGTTGCATTGATTGTATATTCTAGCTGTTTGGTGTAATATTTATTGTACATTCTTGCTTTCTAGTGCTTTATTGATTATCTATTTTTGCTGTTAAGTGCTGCATTGATTATCCATTCTTGCTGTTTGGTGTTACATTGATTGTCCAAATTTGCCGTTTGGTGTTTTAGTGATCATTCATTCTTGCTATTTCAAAGTGAGTAATTATTCATCAGTTTGGTTTTGTACTAATTGTACATTCTAGCTGTTTGATGTTTCATTGATTGTGCATCCTTGAAGTTTGCTGTTAAATTGATTGTACATTTATTTTTTATATTTTTGGTGCAGTATTAATTGTAATAACCTGCTGTGTGGTGTTGTATTGTTAGTATTTTCTTGCTGTTTGGTAATGTACTGATAGTGCATTCTTGAAGTTTGGTGTTAAATTGATTGTACATTTTTGCTGTTTGGTGTTGATTGTATACTCTTGCTGCCTGGTGTTGTATTGATTGTGCGTTCTTGAAGTTTGATGTTAAATTGATTGTACATTCTTGATGTCTGGTGTTAAATTGATTGTATATTCTTGATGTCTTGTGTTGTATTGATTGTGCATTCTTTGAATTTGGTGTTGAATTGATTGTAAATTCTTTATGTTAGGCATTGTATTAATAAAATTTGTTTAAATGAAGATACGTACTTCACCTCGGGCACCAGCGGGCTCTGTGCTGGTTTTACAAATCGTCATGCAAGACACCTGCCACACGTCCTCGTCGTGTGTCACGGAATGTAATAATGACTCAATAAATCAATTAGTCAGGAATTACATGCCTTTTATTATATGTGTGCTTGCGCGAGATTTTATATATATATATGCGACCTTTGTGGCCTAGGCGTTGCGAGTCCGACTCGTAATCAACCGTACCGAGATCGAACCCACTGCTGGCTGCGTGGATTTTTATCATGTTATTGGGCGTCGCTGGTCGACGCAGCCTAAAATGGGTACCAGGATGGCTGTCCTGGGGAAGAAAAGACGGCCGGCCTAACGCTGACCACATTACCCATCCAGTGCCGATGGATCTGTAAAAATATGGGACGCTCTTCCATATACCCCATGCACCTAAGGCGTGAAAAGGGATCTTTTATATATACATGTATATAGGAGTCGCTGTGGCGAAGCGGCTAGACGCTCGCCGCGGATCGGAAGGTCATGGATTCGCTTCCTGGCGGAGTTGGACTTTTTTTTCAAAAATGACCTTGGCTCCCAGGTCACCCAGCCTTGAGTGGATACCGAGTGCAGTCCCGTGAAGTGAAGGCGGCCGGCGCGATGGTGACCACATCACCCACCTTCTGCCGTTTGGTCTATAAAATATAGATCTAGCCATATATGCACTACACGCCTAAAGGCGTAGAAAAGGGTCCTTTACTTTTACTTAACTATATATTAGAGCTGTACCGAATATTCGCTTCGTATTCGCTTCGGGGACGAATAGTGGACCTAATAACTGTTCGATATTAGACCGAATACTTGCGGTCAGGCCGAATACGAACATTGGTTACCTTACCTCCATTTTGCACACATGGCCGTAATGCTGACAACGCCCAGCTCTCTAGCGTAGTTGGCTAAACCGGATTGCGCGGTGACCGGGTGACGAACTCCTTGTGGTCCAGGTTCACTCCCGGGAGTAGGCAGAACAGCCAGATTTCTCCCAGATTTACGGTATTTACAATGGAATCAAGGCCGAAAGGTTGCGATATCCATGATACCAAGCCTAAGAGTTAACAACTCATGGCTTCTGGATATTAAAAACAAAAAACAAAACAATGCTGACAACGTGGAGCGATTGATTTTGTTGAAAGCTAACGCAGCTTTCCTGCATTAACAAAGCTGTCAGTGACAATTTACAAGTTTAGTTACTTGTTATAGTACTTAGAATATTTTCATTCCTAGTTATTAGTTACCACAGACTGACTGAAAGATGCAACAACAAATGTTTTTAAATGTTCACTTTTCGGTACGAATGCTAACTAGACAGGGGGAAAGAAATTCCGGCCACATACAAGTTCATAATTTGAAAATCAAACAAACGGAAACATATAAGTACTTGGTGCAAACTTCAACTGCTCCATCATGCTTAGAAAAGAAATATAATCTAGGATACAATCTAGAAATAAAGTGTACTATGCCCTTCAACATCTGCTAAAGTCAAAGTGTCTGTCTCGCAACACCAAGATCAAAATATATAAAACGTTGAAAAGACCAGACGTTTTATTTGGCTCTGAAACTTGAAGCAGAAATAAAAGAGATGAGGCTTTATTACAGGTTTTCGAAAACAGTTCTACGACAAATCTTTGGACCCATCAAAGATGCTAACAGCGTGGAATGGAGAGTCAGAAGCAACAACATTACACATAATCTGTTTAAATCCGCATTGATCACTGGCATCATGAGAGCTAACAGACTAAAATGGTTGGGTCATATTGAAAGAATGTCAGAAGACAGAGAAGTAAAAACTGTATACACCTGAGAGAGGAATGGGCGTAGACCACGAGGCAGACAAACAAGAAGATCGAGAGATAATGTCCAGCCAGACCTGCAAACAACTGGTGTCACGAATTGTGAAGATAAGGCCAGCCAGAGGGATGAATGGAGACGAGTGATATCTGCAGCAGTAAACCTCGAGGGCTGAGAATGATAAAGAAGAAGATGACTATTCTGTGTTACTTTATGTGACGTGAAAGTTCAGCGTACATTTGACATTATTATTGTGTGTTTTTTTTAGATATATTTTATACACTATACACT